TCCATTTTCCACACTGACCTGTCTGACCAGATATACAATGCAGGTTGCAGCAATACAAAAATTTATTCATGTGGTAACACAATATACTGTACCAACTAAGCTTTTCACCCTTTTCCCAACTTTGTGGTGCCCCCTTTGGCCCTGGGGCCCTAAGCACGTGCTTAGTCTGCTTAATGGTTAATCTGCCCCTGGCTGTCACTGAGGTGCATACCTTCATTTAGGTAGGGTCGCCAGGTCCCTCCGGGCAACTGGTGAGGGGTGGGAGGGGACTCATCAGAAATGGGAGAGAGGCCCTGGCTATGTCACCGGTGATGTGGCAATGTCACTTCCAATGTGTACTGGAAATGACGTCAACACCCTGGGATGTCCCAGTGACGCTCACGCATTTGGGGAAAAACTCTATGGTCAAAATGGCTTCTGCCGTAGAATTTTTGCCCAAAGACCAGAGCATTGCCCAGACATCATAAACTGGAAGTGACATCATCACATTGGTGGCAACAAAGTCTGGTCCTTCCTCCTTCTCCTGCTAAGTCCACCTGCCAGCCAGCTGATCGGGGGCAGTGGGCAGGGCCCAGGGGTGGGAGATCCCCCACCTCCAGCGGGGGGCTGGCAATCCTACATTTAGGGTTGCCATGTCCCCCTGGCAGGGGATGGCAGGTAGCATTGCCAGATCCAGTTTGGGAAACTCCTGGAGATTTGGGGATGGAGCCTGGGGAGGACAGGGACTTCAGTGGGATATTGTCAGATTCCCAGTCAAGTTACTCTCAGCAACTCTCTCTTTGGCAGTGATAGGTTTATTGAGATGTATGCATGATCCAGAACCTCACTTGTGTTAGAACTAAAGCCTTTTGGCGGGTACAAGCTTAATATAGGTAAATCGAACAAAAGCCCCTTCCTTCCCGAAGCATACGTCATACAGACACGGCACACCTAGCGTTGCCATCTCAACCCAGTAGGAAAATATACGGCTTGGTTATCTACTGCTCAAGCTGGTACCAAAAAGCTTTCAAGGACACCTCTCCCTGGGAAAGAGGGAGAGGAGGTACATCTTGCAAGGAAAGCTGTGACTTCACTCATTCACTCCCCTCCCCGCAGGAATTCCCTCCCCCCATAACTATGGCAACCCAAGCAAGCGCAGCGAAGCAAGGTTTGACAGATATAATGCCACATAGTCCACCCTCCAAAGCATCCATTTTTTCCAGGGGAACCGATGTCTGTAGTCTGGAGATCAGCTGTAATTCCGGGGTTAGGGTTAGGGGTCTGGTCACTGGAGGCTAACATCCCTAGTAACATTTCATATTACCAAGGGGTACTCCAAGTTGGGAAATTCCTGGAGAATTTGGAGGTGGAGCCTGGAGAGGGTGGGGTCTGGGGAGGGGAGGGGCCCCAGTGAGGTGTAGTGCCACAGAGTCCAGTCTCCAAACAAGCCATTTTCTTCAGGAGAATCGATCTCTGTCGTCTGGAGATCAGTTGTAATTCCAGAAACTCTCCAGTCCCCACCAGGAAGTCGAATCATAGAACGTTAGAGTTGGAAGGGACTTTGGCAGGCCATCTAGTCCAACCCCCAGCACTCTGCGGGCGCACAGCCGAGAGATAGCCTTACATACCTACAACATACCCGAAAGATGGTTGTCCAGCCTCCACTTGAAAACGCCCAGCGAAGGAGCACCCACCACCTCCCAAGGCAGTTTGTCCCACGGCTCAACCACTCTTACAGTTTAGGAAGTTTATTGAATTCTATTGAATTCTCTCCACACCTTCCCTCCTCCCAGAGTCCTTCACTGCAGAAAAGTTGGCATATCAGGAAGAAAGGTCAGTTGGAACCCTTTTTCCTGACATGGTGGATTCCTAGGCACATCTGGTTGGCCCAACTCTCCGTGTGTGGCAGAACGAGCTCTGGGAGCCTTTCATACTGAGTAAAATTTTGAGCTATCCCACGACGAACAATATACATAATTATCAAAGAGATTTTCAAACCTTTTGGTCTCCTGCAGTGGGGTATTGATCAGGAATTAATATAATCCCGGATAATATTAATTATCAGCCACCCTGAGCCTGCTTTACGGGGAAGACGGGGCATAAATCTGATAATAAATAAATACATTAATTAATTAATAATCTGTACTATCGAGATCTACTATATTTTTGAAGTGTTATCACTTTAATATTCAGATGTTAGCAGTTTTTATAGTTTAACGATAACTAGTATTGTCATTATGTAATATTTGTTGTATTTACTAATAAAAAAATAGTGAGAGTCGTTGGTCCTTTGAAGAAACAGGAAGCTGAATTTGGTAGCTTTTAATTATTTTCTTTCTTTTTTCTTTTTTCTGAATAAATAACTTTTATTTATATAATATAGCGACGATTTACAGTAGCACATACTATTAGGAAACCACCACAATAAAAACAGATTTAAAAACACAAGAGCAATAAAACCAAACGGCTACTCAGTATGTAGCTATAACCTTAAAATTATCCGGAAGTGCCTTTTTCAGCTTACTATGTCTTTTCATTCCCTATATTCAAGAAAGGGAAACCAACGTTCCAAAAAATCTGGATGAAACTCTGGATTCTCTGCCAAGGATATAACTTCTGATATTTTGTCCATGACCAGGTATTCCCATAACTTTATTAAACCACATAATTGATGAGGGTTGTTTACTATTTTTCCAGTGCCTTGCCACTAAAGTCTTGGCTGCCACCAACATATACGAAATAAGATCTTTCCTGACATCAGGAACATCTATCCCCACCCATAATTTAAGCAAGACAAGTTCTGGCCTCATAGGGATACTGTGCCCAGTAATGTCATAAATCTTTTTAATAGTAACCACACTTACCTTCTAAGGCTGTGGTGCTATGCTCACTTACGTGGGAGTTAAGACCCCTTGAGCACAGGGGGACTGATTCCTATGACCGTTTCCCTCATGAATGTCTAAATGTGCTATTCCAGTTTGATATATAAACTGAAATAAGGCCCAAAAGGTAGGTGGTAAAAGTGGTAAGGAAAGGTAACGTTCTCGGGTCACTAGACCCTAAAACATACGCGGAATCATTTTATGGGTTTCATTCAAGTCAAATGTCATATATGGATTATTCTTGACCGCTGCTGTTTCTTTTAGGCGATTCATTCTATCGGGTGGCATCATGAGGGGAAGCAATTTATGTGCAGTCATTCGGATGGCAGTTTGACTCTGTGGAACCTCCGAAGTCCTAGCAGGCCATTCCAAATAATCATTCCACACGGTAAGGTTTGTGCGGGAGGATCGGTGCTACTTATACAAACCAAATTGTTTAGGAGAATATTTAGGTCTTCTTGAAGAATGTTTTCTAGGAACACTCCGAGACCATTTCCGCAGTAGTGAAATTCCCCTCACTGACGTTGTGCATTATGCGAAATTTTCCGCAGTAGATTTTCCCTCACCAGGCGCAAAACCAAAGTTTTCTCCTTCTTACTCGCTTACTCGCTTAAACGCAACTCGCTAAAACTGGGGGTTCCGAAAACACAGGGTAAGAAGGAGAAAACTTTGAGTTTGCGCCTGGTGAGAAAATATCTACTGCGGAAAATGTCATTTAACGCACAGTTTTAAAAACGTCAATGTGGGGAATTTCTCTACTCCAGAAATGGTCCAAGTATTGTCTACCCAGACTGGCAGTGGCTCTCCAGGGTATCAGGCAGAGGTCTTTCACATCACCTACTACGAACAGTCCTTTTAGATGGAGATGCCAGGGGGATTGAACCTGGGACCTTCTGCGTGCTAGGCAGATGCTCTACTGCTGAGCCACAGACCCTTTCCAAAGTGTGGTGTTGCCATCAACTTAAGGCAGCTTGGTTCAGCTTACTCCAGGCCTGTTTTATGTTCCCAGTTTACCCCTTATAACCACGCAGTAGCTGTGATCTGGCACTGATGGCTTGATAACAATAGAAATGGGGCGGGCAACATTTTCTGGGGGCGGACTGGTAGCCCCATGGAGTTGGAGCTGCTTCCTGTTACAAGGGACAGGGCAGGGTAAGAGACTACTTCTTTCATAAGATGTTCACTTTATCTCTGCCTCTAATTTTTTAAAAGAATCCAGTGGGGGACCCAAATGAGGTACAGAGCGCTTCAGCTGTTTCCAGGATGTATCCCCGGAGAATAACAATAATGCACCTTTAAGACAAACACATCATTCATATCTTTGCTTTGGGACCCGATCCAAGACCCATTGTGCTGGTTCATACATGAACACACGAAGCTGCCTTATACTTAATCAAACCCTTGGTCCATCAAAGTCAGTATTGTCTACTCGGACCAGGTCTCAGGCAGAGGTCTTTCACATTACCTCCTACCTGATGCTTTTAACTGAGGATGTCGGGGATTGAACCTGGGACCTTCTGCGTGCCAAGCAGATGCTCTGCCAGTGAGCCACAGCTACTCCCCATGCTCATAACTCGGTTTTCCCATCACTCGGGGGAAAGTCTTGTGTTTGAAGAGTTGTGCTGTGACAGGAGGGCCGTGTGATCTGTGGTAGCTCATTCACACCTGGGAACCCCCACACTCATCAGGTATGTGTGTGTGAACTGGCTTGCCTGTCCCAAAGTCTGGAATTTGAAAAGGAAACAGTTTCACGTGAGCCATTTTTTAACGAAGCTGGGAAGAAATCCACGCTGGTAAAACTCACTGAGGTCGAATCTGCATTTGTCTTTCCCACCGGTGTCCCAGCCTTCTGACTCCGTCTTCAAAAAATCTGTCTACGTTTGGTTTCGTTTTCACACCTCAACCACGCACCCTCCTTCCCTGGATTTCTGAGCATGGTAATGGCTGGTTCGCTGAGGGGTTGGAATCTATATGGTTGCCAGCTCTGGGTTGGGGGAATTCCTGGAGATTTGGGGGTAGATCCTGGGGAGGGTGAGGTTTGGAGAGGAGAGGGACCTCAGCAGGGTGTAATGATTGGGATATTTGGTGAATATAGGCCCCAGTCACACAGGAGGATTTGCCCCGCAAAGCAGACGGGTTGAGGGCGCATCAAACGGGCACAATCAGATGCCAACATCTGGCAAGCGTCGCACACCCGCCCCCAACCCGTCCCTTCCGGATGAAAACATGGATCAAAAAGGTACTAGGGAAAATGTAGTGCCTACCGGAAGATCCACAGCAAGGCCGGGCATGGGATCACAGACGTGCCGGTAGCCCGTGTTATTCGAGGGACTGCCGGACTGCGCATGCGCAACTGCCAGACTGTGCATGCCCACAAATACTCCAGCAGCCTCGGCTCGCCCATCTTTGCCTCACTTCTCCCGACCATGTGATTGCGCCGGACAGAATATGCGCAGCGGCTCGGGGGAAGCGTCTGATCCCAATGCCATGCTTTCCTTTGGTGCGGCTCTAAGAAGCCGCACTTCCGATGCGGCTTTTCCCGCCGGTGTGACCGGAACCATACCAGAGTTTTGCCCAGTCACAGAAGCGTAATACTGAGTGCTGTAAATAAATCCCCCAAGAAGTATATTGCAAAAGAGGCAAACTTACATTTATTCAAGTAGATCCAGTTCACGTTCAGGGTGCAGTCGAAAGGGGAGAGAGAGAAGCCTGATCTAAAGAGTACTTTCCCTATCACAAAGTTGCCAGCTTGTCCAGCATCATGCATGTGGGAGTATGAGGACATTGGCTGAATCTGCATTTGTCTTTCCCACCGATGTCCCAGCCTTTTGACCCCGTCTTCAAAAAAGCTGTCTACATTTGGTGTCATTTTCACACCTCAACAGTGCTAGCATACTTTTGCACGTCCACATATGTTTAGCGTCCTTTCAGGGCGGCTCCACTGTCATTGCACCTCTGCACTGCTTTAAAAGAATCTTCTCCAAACAACAGTCAAACAAGCATAGAGAAAGACCAGGTTGCAGCAGCATGGAACTAATTTAAAAATGCAAATGCAGATTCAACCATTGTCTCTACAGGCGAGAACTGCAGAGACCTGTGTCTCCATGGAAAGCCATGTGCAGCAAGTGAGGGATGTATATACAGGAGAGACCTGTGTCTCCGTGGAAGGCCATGTTAACGCAGTGAGAAGATTAAGGGAGGGAGAGAAGAGGTCAGAGGGCAACTCCAGGTTAATTCAAGGAGATAACACCCCCACACACTTAGAGTGATATAGCACCCCTATGTCCTGACATGCTGACTCGCTCACTGCAACAGTAATGGCCTGTTCACCCTCGAAAGCAGCTATTTCCTCAAGGGGAACTGATCACTGTGGCCTGGAGATTGGTTGTAATTCTGGGAGATCTCCAGGCCTGACCTGGAGGTTGGCAACCATAACAGATAACCTCTCAGTGCCCCTTTTCTCATGCTTTGGGTGACTGGAGTCACTGTATGGAGTATTTTGATCTCATAACAAATTGCCGACTCTTTCCATTCGAGAACTTAAGTAAAATCACTGCGTGAGCCAGTAGGTCAATTATATCTTTTGCTATTGCGGAAAAATAAGTTTGCCTTGTCTGTACTAACTTTCAAACTTTCTTTCAACAGGCAAAATTCAGCGAGATGGTAAAAAAGCTGAATCTTGTAAGCCAATTCTTAAAGTAGAATACAAGACCTGTAAAAACAGGTAGGTACGTTTCTTTTTCGTATAACGGCAGGGACAATTCTCTACAGCGGCCTGTTTCTGTTGCGATCAAACACGGTTTTTTTGCTACAGTGACTCTTCCGCTGTTTTGTCTTTCTCAAGTCTTAGAAAGTCAACGTTGCCTTCACTGATTTTTAACATTTTTATGTGAGGTCTACAGAAAATAAAAACAGCGGGACAAGTTTTTGAAAAGCGTTTTAGACTTTGAGATAGGCTTTTTCGAACACACTTCCAGGCCAGCATAGTATAATACTGGATTGTGTTGGAATTCATCGAGGAAGTTCTGGTCACATATTCTCACTCAGCCAGGATGCACATTGGCCTGGATCAGGGGCCCCCAACGTCTGGGGCGGTGAGCACAACCACAAAAATGGCTGCCACAAGAGGTGAAGCTAACCTCAAAATATCAGGTACTGCAGTGGTACGTGACTCTAATGGTAATTCTTCAACATTTCAGGCAGAAGTTCTGTTTACCGGTTACTCCTGGCCAGTCTTCCCTCTAAGCTGAGTTGGTGTAAGGTAGCTCACAATTTTTTAGCCTCCGGCTCACACATTTTTGTCTCGGCTCTGGAAGGAGGGCCAGAGCAAACTAATTTATGCAGGAGCCAAATCGCTCACTCACAACTTTAATGCCAGTAGCTCACAAGGCAGAATTTTTGCTCACAAGACTCCACAGAGAGGGAGCATTGCTCCCGGCCCAAAAGATGTCCGCTTAGCCTCAACTAGGGTCAGGGCATTCCCCGCCCTGGCTCCAACCTAGTGAAACATGCTCCCACTGGAGATCAGAGCCCTGCGGGATTTAATGCAATTCTGCAGGGCCTGTAAAACACGCTATTTTGCCAGGACTTTGGTTGAGGTGGCAGACACCTAAATACTTTGGCCTCCCCTGCCTATACTGCTTGGGTGAACTGCTCTTTCTAGAGATCGCCATGGCATTTGCTGAGTGAGTCCTTATACTTGTCAGCATATGTCCAGCACCAGAAGCACTCGTGGATATTGGAAATTGAAATTTTCTGCCATTTGTTGCTGGGTTTAGGAATTTTCACTTTGTATGTGTCAAACCATGCTTCGCTTTGCTTGCTTTGGGTTGCCATAGTTACTGGGAGGAAGGAATTCCTGCGAGGAGGGGGATGAGTGCAAGGAGAATGTTTCTAATTGTTTCTTTTTTAGTTTGATAAGTGCAGGATTGTTTTAGGTGGAGAAGCAGACAGTCTTGCAAGATATCCCTCTCCAAAGTTGTATGGACACCAAGTTACTACTTATTTATTTATTTGTTTGTTTGTCAAATTTATACCTTGCCCTCCCAGCTGAGGCCAGCTCAGAGTAAAACATATAAATTACAATTGAAACAGTTTTAAAACAAACTAAAGCCACCTAATATAATAAAATGCTAGTAAGCCATCTAATATAATAAAGTGCTAGTAATCATTATATTGTTTAACTTCACTGTGGGCCCTACACAGGAGGCCCTACACAGGAGATAGGTTATGTTTTTCTGACTTTTAAAAACTTTATTGTAGTCAGCCACCGCCGTACTATTATTAGTGGAACCGTGGTGGATTATCGTGTGTTTAACCCTTTCCTCACTTGCAGGGCTTTTTTCCCCGGGGGAACACACCAGAATGGAGTTCTGGAACCTCTTCGACAAAATTATTTTTAAAAGTTTAAAGGTTCACGAGTTTTCAGTATACGGATCTGTTGTGTAGTGAGTTCGATGCATCGAATGATCAGGAAACAAAGTGATACTCAGCACATGTTTACTAGTACACAACATAACACACAAATACCAGCCGGTCGGCCCTTGGTCCACCCACAGGTCCTATTGGAGGGTTTAAGCTTCCCGCCAAGTTCCTATTGGTGACCACTAGAGGTTTCAGGATCCTAGTCCCTATTGTCTCTGAGAACCAAGCCTGCTGGCAGTTAGCGGACATCACAGGATCGGAAACGTCATTTCCCTCTTGAGGGTTCCGGCACCTCCCCCCCGCCCCGAAGCCCTGCTCACTGGCCTTTCCCTGATCAGAATCACAGACATCCTGAGTTGCTTTCCCATCTGCAGGGGGGGGGGATACGAGTTCAATATATCTTTTTCCCTTTGGAGAGAGGAAAGTAGCTTGCAGGGAGTGATTTGCTTTGTGATGGCGAAAAGGGTTGGCATTCTCTGTTCATTTGGCTCCTGTGTTGTGGCTAGCTTGGGGTCCATTCAGACGGCTCTTTAGATCCACGCGAGGCACGATTGCCTCACGGATCTAAAGGTAATGTCCAGGCACAAACATCTGGGAAATGTCCCTCTTCCGTGGGCATCCCGTTTTGCCGCGCTTCGGAGCCGTACTTAAAAGATAGCACTTTAAATCTGGGGTTTTTGGTTACCTGTGGGACAACTGCGGACTTTCACCCGTCTGATTGTTCCAACGCGCAATCCTCCCGTCGGGGTGGTCTGACGTCAGACCATCCCGAGCGGGCACCATTTAAAAAAATCTCTACACATGCGTGGATCAACAAGGACGCGCTGTCACGTCTATGTGCATGCGCAGAAAGTTTTCTTTTAAAAAACCCCACCGCATGCCTCTTTCAACAACGATGTGCTTTGACGCCTATGCGCGATTTTTTTTTAAAAAAAAACCCTCCATGCACGCCTCCTTCAGTGAATGCCATCCAGACAATCCACAACGGTGGCAGCGTGCGGTAAGGCGATTCACCAAGGGGATGTCTGGTCATGCTACGATGGATTAAAAAGATCAGGATCAAATTCAAACTGGCATAATGGCGGGATTAGCTGCTCGTCTGAATGCACCCTTGGTCATGGGAACTTCCTCTCCTAAGCACATTTGTGCCCGTACAGGTCTGTTGAAGTCAGTGACCTGAGAAGAGGGTAACTCTGGATTTCACTATGGCCAGTCAGTCTCTCACACTCTGTTGCACCTAATGGTTGGGGGCTTAGAAGAACTGCTCGGAGGAGGACTGGGATACGAAATGAATGGTTAATAACAACACTGGAAAGCTTTCCCTCTTGGGTCTTCGTTATGTGCTGATTTGGATGCATAGAAAAAAAGTGTGTGTGTGTGTGTGTGTGTGTGTGTATGATACCCCTCCTTACCTCGTGTGTCTGAATACACTATTTTTGTGTGTATACTTGTTCTGTGAGGAACTTTAACACTGTCCTTTATGTGACAGAACAGCAAAAATAGCCAAACAGGAAGATCACCATCGTCAGTTGAAAGATGTAACTCCGAGGGCAGTTTTTAGCTGGGAGATAATTCACTCTGTTTGAAAATTCCTTCCAAAGCTGGTGTCTGTTAAGAAAGATTCCAGTACTCTTTTTTTTTTAAATCCCTGGAGGGATATTTTTTTATTTTGCAAATACTACAAAAACTACAAAGAAATATTAGGGAAGGGGCTACAACTAAGGATAAACGAAAGCAAACCACACTAAACTAAAACCCCAAGAGGAGGAGATCTTTTCACTGTTAGTAAAAATGTTAGTACAATTAGTTTTAATATCACAATATACTCGTAGAGTTCTTGCTTATAACAATTTGTTATTTATATGTTATTTTGTTAGTTGTTATGAGATTCCAATACTTATGAGTGCAACTGTTGCTTAGCAGAAATCTTCTTTTAATATGGAATCAAAATGTATGTTCAAATATTTATGTGCAAGAGAGGTCGCAATGCACATGTTTAGACTCTGTGATCTCATCCGTTAAAAGACACACTAATAGACTTATTTAGGGATCCATGCTAGTCTGATGACACTTGTTGTGGACTATAGAACTCAAAATGGATTCCACTCTGGACCGAGAGATCTCACATAGCCTAGGAAAATCTTTTTTTTTCCTGTTCAAAAGATCTTTGGGCAAAAATATCAGTGCAGAGGTGGCACAATTATCACTCATTTTTCATTCTTCTTTTCAATATAGCGAGCCTTTTATAATTTTTTCTGGTGGACTTTCTTATGACAAGCCTTGGCGAAGGCCAAGTCTAACAATCATGCATGGAAAAGCAATTACAGTGCTTGAAATGGATCATCCCATTGTGGACTTTTTAACGCTTTGTGAAACGCCATACCCAAATGGTGAGTGTATGCTACTGTTTTAGCCTGACAGTGAATATTGCATTTGTACTCACAGTAGAACAGAGAGCTGAAAAATAGCCAGGTGTTAAAGACTGGTCAATCACATGTTTTGATACTTTTACAGTTCAATCCTAAATGGAGTTATACCTTTCTAATTCCATTGAAGTCAGTTATTTTTAGAAGGATGTAAATCTGTTTAGGATTGCACAGTCAGTTGCGTGAGACATAGGAGATGTGAGAACTTACAGGTAGATCCAGGTGGCAATTGTCATCCCTAGCACAATAATGTCACCTTTGGCAACCCAGAAGGGACATCATCATTTTGGGTGTGACACTCTAGCACTCACCCCAAGCTCAATTATTTAACCATAGAGTTTTGTGTGACTGCTAGAGTGGTATCTCATTTGATGAAGTCACTTCCAGCTCACTCCAGAAGTTGTGTCATTGGAGATTGGGGATGATTTTGTCATTGGGCATTGGGGATGACAGTTGTGTCCCCCCCCCCTCAATTATGCCCTTATTGTGTAAGGGTTTTTTAATCTGCCCAGGGTTTTGCAGAATCCAAGATTTTTCAATTCCTTATTTGTATAAATGGATCTTTTTGTGTCTCGTCCAGAATTTGGGATACTAATGTTTTACTCACTACATACTTAGTACTAGGCTGTTACCCCGTGTGGGTGCCTCATTTTTATAGAGCATAAAAATATTTCTGGGTGATGTTGGCTCCACACAGCTGTGGGAACATTTGAATTGGCTTCCCCTGTGGGTTGGTGGGATTGTGTGGTAAGTAACTTGTGCCACCTCCCACCTCCCTGGTAGCTTGCACATTCTCACCCCAGTAAAAGCTTGTTCAGTGTAAGCTGATGCTGCTTCTAACCTGCATAAATACCACATTCCCTGTGGTTAACTTGGGATATACTAGAATGCATTGAAGCCATACTTATAACGACAACTCCTCACAGGGTATTGCATTAGGTTTGTTGCCGAAGTCATGTGCAGAGCCCCTCAAAGATGGATGTTACATCTTCACCCTCTCTTTTATAGGGTCACAATAGCTACCTGGAGAAAAAAATGTCCTGTCCCTTTAATAGCGAGGTTTAATGTGTGGAAATAGACAGTGAACGTTTCTCATGTCATGGAAGTAAATAACATCACCCAGTAAATAAAATCTCATTAAGTCTTTATTAAAAGGACAGGACATTTCCCCCCCTCCAGGCTGTGGGAACTCTACTCTTTTATTATAATTCTAATTATGTAACACAGAGAGAAAGAAAGCTAATAGTATTTCTGCCTATAGCAGTGGTATGAAAGTTTCTTACCAGTGCAGTCGTGATTATCAGTATATAAATGTCACAAAAGATCACACTTAATAATAATGTCGTATTTTCCTATTTCAAAAACTGTTTTTAGGATTCTCTCAGAAATACTTTTATTTTGTGATTATGAAGAACTATATCATTTGGATCTCATTTAGCTTAACGTCCCATGTCTCTGATTTTTGTGCCTGATTATTGGTTTGTAGAATTTCAGGAACCGTACGCTGTTGTCGTACTCTTGGAAAAAGATTTGATTGTCGTTGACCTGACTCAGAGCAAGTAAGTACAAAACCCATGTGCTATCACTACTCATGTTAGAAAGGGGTTCCCCCCCCCGCTTGTTTTAATCAGTTTTGTAAATATAGAATTTTACCTTTTGAATAGTTCCACTTTTTGCCAAGTATTCTTCCTGGCTAGAACAAATGCTTTGCCATCTGCAGAATTGTAAGATCACTGTGAGGGTAAAGCCCCCTGGCCCTCCAATGTGTTCTGGATCCTGCAAGATGCCGACGTCTACAGGAAACAGCAGCCGGTCTTTGCCTCCTCCCGTCCCCCCTTTCAGAGAAAGACTTTCCCCCCATGTCATCCCCCCCCCTCAGCAATCTGAGTCGTCAGCATCTTGCAGGATTCAGAACACATTGGAGGGCAAGGGGGCTTTATTTACATTCAGGGGTCATTTCCTGCGGGAGCGCACAGGAGTGGAGCTCCAGCAGTAAGGTACAAGCTCTCCCTCCTCTGTGAGGGCAGATCTGCGCATTC